TCAAGAACGAGATTTTACCTTCAAAGAATGCCCCAACAGCAATGAAACTCGAATCCAAGCAAAACCCTTTGATCCAAGCCTTTTTTCCTTCAAGATTTCTTCAACTAGCACTTCTCCAAGCTCCAATTTTCCCAACAATGGTGTTCCTCCACGAAATTAGGGTTTCTAGGGCTCAAGGGGAATCAAAGAGGTTGGGGAGGAAACATAATGTCCTTTATATAGAGCTCAAGCCCGAGAATTAGGGTTTTCTCCACTCAGCACCTACTCGCTGAGTCCATCTTTCGACTCGCCGAGTAGGCCACCTGACACGCGACCAAAGTTGCGACCTGACTCGCCGAGTCCATCCATGGACTCGCCGAGTTGCCCTCCAAAACTTACACTTTTAGCCTTTCAACTCTACTCTTGCTATTCCGGGATGTTACACATAATCGAACCTTGTTAGACATGGTTCGTTCCATGATGAGTCGAGCTTCGCTACCAATCTCATTTTAGAGGTATGCCTTAGAGACTGTCGCCCATATCCTTAATCTAGTCCCTACCAAAAAGGTTGCAAAAACACCTCACGAGATGTGGACCGGGAAAGTTCCCAATTTGGACAACATCAAGATTTAGGGTTGCGAGGCTTTCGTGAGGCGCGAGACTCACGATAAGCTTGAACCTCGAAGTGAGAGGTGTATTTTCATCAGCTACCCACATAAATCCTTTGGTCACCTCTTCTATAGACCCAGTGATAATGTGGTCTTTGTAGCAAGGAGAAGGGTCTTTCGTGAGATAGAATTCATAAGCTAAGGAAACAGTGCGAGGCAAATCGACCTTGAAGTAATTCAAGAATCAATTGGTGAAGGAACCTCAAATCCTAGCGATAAAACTGAGGAGGAAACTTCTGTTGATGAAACTAAGGAGTCTGTACCTCTGAGGCATTCCACGAGAGTTAGGAATGCACCTGAACATTACTATGGTTTCCATATTACTATGGAAGGTGATACATTTATCAGTGACAGTACACTGGTAAATTTGGATAAACCTAACAGCTATAGGGAAGCCAATGCATGCCCTGAGTCTGCTAAATGGAAAGAGGCTATGGACAGCAAGATTCAGTCCATGTATGACAATCAAGTTTGGAACTTGGTTGACAATGTATCGGCTCGTAAGATGGTCGGGTGCAAATGGATCTTCAAGAAGAAGACCGACATGGATGGAAAGCTGCACACTTATAAGGCACGACTGGTTGCGAAGGGTTTCACTTACACTCAAGGAATTGATTATGATGAAACATTCTCACCAGTAGCAAATATTAAGTCTATCACGGTTATGCTAGCCATTGCTACATTTCATGATAATGAAATATGACAAATGGATGTCAAAACCGCTTTCCTTAATGGAAAGTTGGCTAAGGATTCTTACATGAGTTAGCCAAAGGGTTTTGTCAGTGCGAAGCACCCTAAAAGAGTGTGCAAGCTTGATAAAACCATTTATGGATTGAAACAAGAATCTCGCAGCTGGAACCTTTGTTTTGATGAGAAGGTCAAAGAGTTTGGCTTTTCGAGAAGCGAAGATGAATCCTGTGTGTATGTCAGAGCTATTGGGAGTATAGTTAGCTTTTTGGTACTGTATGTAGATGACACACTACTCATGGGAAATGACATCCCAACTTTGCAGGAGGTTAAGTCCTGGCGTGGGAAGTCTTTTGCTATGAAGAACCTTGGAGAAGCTGTCTAGATCCTAGGGATAAGGATATTGAGAGAAAAGAGTAAAAGACTAATTGGACTTAGCCAAAGCACCTATGTGGACAAAGTGTTGAAAAGGTTCAACATGTAGCATTCCAAGAAAGGTGACCTACCGATCCACCATAATGCAAAATTGAGCAAGGCTCAGAGCCCGAGTAAAGAGGATGAGATAGCTGAGATAAGTCGATTACCATATGCTTTCGCTGTTGGCTCGATCATGTATGCTATGACTTGTGCTCGCCCTGATGTGGCTTTTGCTTTGAGCTTAGTTAGCCGATATCAGGGGAATCCTGGTAAGGCTCACTAGACTGCGGTAAAGAACATTCTCAGGTACATGCGAAGGACTAAGGATTGGATTCTTACCCTTGGTGGGAGTGATGACTTGAGAGTTGTAGGGTATACCGACGCTAGCTTTTAGACTGATGGGGATAATTTCCACTCCCAGTCGGGATGGGTCTTTACCATGAATGGAGGAGTAGCTACTTGGAAAAGTTCGAAGAAAGAGACGGTAGCTGATTCGACGTGTGAATCAGAGTGTATAGAAGCGAGTGAAGCGGCGAAGGAGGTGATATGGCTGAGGAACTTCATCGGAGACCTTGGAGTTGTACTGACTATAAAGGAGCCCATGGAGATTTTCTGTGACAGCAATAGTGCGGTTGCCTTAGTCAAGGAACCAAGAGATCATGACAGATCCAGACACATTGACATAAAATATCACTTCATAAGACAGAAGATAAAAGAAGGATTCCTTGTAGCAAAGAGGATATTGTCAGAAGAGAACCCAGCAAATCCCCTTATGAAGGGACTGACTAGGGTTAGGAATTTGTAGCATGCGAGACGCATCGGGCTAAATGATGATATTAGTTTTACAGATTAGATAATTTTTGAAATTTGTAAAGTGTAATTGACATTTGATGATGAATAAAAGTTGTTGTTTATTTATGAGTAAAGTGTTGTTATCTTTTGTCAGTCATTTACTGTCATTTCATTTTGACTTCCAAAATAATTATGTCATGGTATTTTATATTATTCAAATTCTCCACAGTCAGTCATATGTTGGAAGTGGATATGAATCAAGACTGTCATGAGTTGGCTTGTAGATGTCTAAGATGTTGGACATAGCAAGAGTTGCTACAACACTCATGAGTGCTCATAAGTTCTGAGTATTGAATTCAACCCACGCTCACTTGTATCACTTCATGGAATTTATCTTTAGTGATCGTGAAATGGTAATATCTTATAAGTCTTCAAACCTAGAGATATGATTTGTTGCCTATGAGTTGGTTATGCATTGATTGTATAAAAGCACATCAGTAACTTGATGTCATAAAACGTACCTTTATGTATAATTCAACAAGTAGTAGAACAAGCATATGAGTCGAAGTTTATCTATTCCTTCTTGGATTAGAAGCGATATCTGGGCCCCTTGATGATTTTGTTTTGACCTATGAACCGGGCCCGGTCAGAACTAAATTGATGTGTTCTATTAAGTTCTATGTCAAACAAATCGGAAATCGGGAAAAAAAACTGTTGGACAATAAGTACAATATTGTTTCATGTATTTTTCCGGCTGATATCTAGAACAGAGTATTATATGATCACTTATCTAAAATGGTGCTTCATAGTTTAACAGAGTTTTAAGAGCTACGATTGCTGGTCGGTTCCTGGAGTCATGCTTGCAACTATAGTTATTAGACTTATCCAAGTGGGAGACTGTTGGATAAGGTGTCTAAGTCCATAACTATATTTGAGATGTACTTGACCCGACCCGGCATGGTCCATTTGGGTTGCACTTCATCCGAACAAATTATGGATAATCTTTTGAGAATAGTATGTTTATGATTTATTAATATATTATAAGTTCTAATATATTAATATGAAATCATATAATTTTATTAGTATTGATCTAGAATTAATTTAGAATTAATTTGGTGATAAAAAAGGTGACTAATTAAATATGGGCTCTTGTATTTATATAGTGTGGGCTATTGCTTATTTGGAATGGGTTAGGCTTACATGGAAAGTCCATGGATAGTTCATGGAGCTTTAACCCATGCATCTCATGGAAATGAAAGGTCATGGGTATTAGGGTTTACATGAATGTAACCCTAATCCACCACACTATATAAAGGATTCCTTGGCACTTGAACTAGCACTAGTTGTGTGTGTGAGCAAAGGTGGCCGATTTCTATAAGTGTTCATACTCTCTCTAAAGGTTTCCAAAGCTTGTGGTGATCTGTGAATTCCATTTGAGGCATCCACGTTATTCACTACTAGAAAAACAGCCTTTTACGACGCTCATTGCGCATCGCAAAAGGCTCAAATGACGCGCAAATGTGCGTCAAGGAAGGCCTGTCATAAAGGAAGACAACACGCGTTCGCGTGTCGTAACCTTACGATGCGCGTGTTAATGACACGCAATGCGTATCAAGAAAGCCTCTGTCAAGAAATGCCATGTCATAAATGAAGATGACACATTTTTGCGTATCGTAAATTTAAATGTTTAAAAAAAATTATATATTTATTAATTTTTAAATTAAATTTGCATTTAATTTCTCATAATAGAAATAAAATATCATATACAAAAAATACAATCCATTGCATAATATAAAATAAAATTTCATACTCAAAAAATAAAATAAATTGCACAAATTATAATGTCATACAAAGAATCATTCAAATGTTAAATAAAAATAATACATTGCTAACATGGGTTATACATTCCTATAAAACTAACAAATAATCATACAACTCTATTTCTTACTGGAAAGGAATGCCAAACATGATTACAAGTCTCCCTTAATCTTGATTACTCACCTGCTTAAGTAGAATGATGTTGTTGAGAAGGTTACCTAGCAACAGACAAAAACACAACACCTCTCCCACAATCACAACATCATTTACAGAAAAAGGGTTGTCAATTACTTTCATTAAGACTTTCATTCAATCACAAAAATATTAAATAAAAGGGTGAAAAAAATAACTTACTTTTGATAAGTTGATCTCCCTTAGAGCAAACACAGCTAAAGCATTGAACAAGACCCTATTTCAAAATTTTGTAAATACACAAATCATGGTGCCTCATATTGGAATACACACTTTGAGACATGAATTAAGACGAGTAGATTGACCTGGATACACAGGAAGTAAATATGGAAGGTGCCAGAATTCCGGGGGCATTGGTACGTCATCTTGCCAAAACAAGTTTATGTTTTTTGGAAATAGTGAAGCCAAGTAATATAATACCTGAAAACCCCATGAAGAGCAAAGTAATTATCTATTGTTATTAGTAATAATCCCATTTCTAGACCCTATAGGAAATAATATTCCAGTAAGATCAAAGGAGAAGATTCTATATGATTAGATTAGGGTAGCAGACAAATGACCTCAAATGTCCAATCTTACTTTCATTGGAAAGAATATTGGAAATGATATAAGCTTCAATCCATAGGTAAGTGTTCCCTAATGGACGCCATCTTATCCGACCTGATTCTGCTAAATGTAGAGGAAGAGGAAACTCGTGTCCTGGATATACAGGGTCCATAATCTTGCGAGATACACCAAATGGTATATCGAATCTGACTTCAAATGGCATTGTTGTTGCATTTGTGAGTATGACCTGGCATCAAAATAGAATCTTTTTAGAGAAAATAGCTAGAAACCATTATAAGTGTTCTGAAAGCAACCTCAATCAAGGATTCTGTAACATTGATATTGAGATTCATTGTTGACTTGAGATGAACATTTGTCATGACTGGGTTGTTTTGAAGGGAACTTTTTCCTTGCTCTCTTCTTAAGCTTACTTGGAAGTTCCAGGGTTCAAGGAAAGGCTCCCATAATACCTGGAGAGTATAATCAAAATAAGTTATCATCAATTCATCATTGCATAAATTACTAGAAAAAATAAATCACCTTATGAATGTTATTGTAGTTCACTTGAAGCTTACTATCAACCGATCCTTCCATCACATTTGCAGTTATGATACCATGAAACAACAAGCTTCCCATAAGAATCTCTAGTAGATGACCATTGGAGCTCCACTAGATAATCAAAATCACAGATTAAATAAACATGAGTTAATGGTTTGGAAAATGAGAAAACAGTTTTACATACGTTTTCATCTGTCAAAAGAATGAAACCTTTCGTAAGAGAAATCTGAAATTTACACTACCAACTGAGAATGGTGCCACAACTACATAAACCTGAACCAATTATTGATGGTGACACGTGTCCCAAAAACGGTGCCACCACTACATAAACCTGAAACCAATTATTATTATTAATGGTGACAAGTGTGCAAATTTTTTGAACTTTTAGTAGGATAATGTAAAAATACCTACCTCAATTGCTTTCAGTAATGATTCATCCTGAACAATGCACAATGCTAAAGTAGAAGAAGCATTGAGGTTTTCCAGAATAGGAAAATAATAAGTAGGATAGAATGGCACAATCAAGTTTATCTGCAGGAAGTCACACATCGGTCAGTCAGTTATGTGAAATGTGAGATGTTGAGTGAAAATGAGAGAGAAGATGCTGAAAGCTGACCTGGAAGTCGACTAGTTTAATTTCCAAGAGATCATACAGATCTTGAATCTGAGTTCCTTCTAGAAGCTCACTTGAAGAATTGTCATCTATTAAATTCCTCATGAATTGAGAAGGTACGTTGATATCTGGTGCAAAACAGCTAACATCATGATTGGATGAAAAGGTGACAGCTGTTAATCCAAGTACCTGTGTACGTTAAGGTTTGAAGTTAATACAAATACAAATAATAATAATGTGAACCTCGTATGACAATTTAAAAAGAAATCAATACCAATTTATGTATCTCTGACTTCCCATTCTCCCAGGGAATAATTATCTTGATGTTTATTAAACTAATATCCCACATCATTCTCTTCCAACCTGACAACATGTATCTACAAAACAAAACAAGAGAAAATAGATATGTGTAGTTTAAATACAATGTTTCTTGCTACTAATCCCATTTCTGGACCCTAAAGGAAATAATATTATTCCAGCAGTAATATCATAGGATAAGAGATACTTGGCTTTCGATGTTAGACGTGACTTCATGTCTTTTATCCCATTAAGCGAGTTTAGGACCTGTAACATGAAACCAGTTTCTCAAAAACCTCATAAGTTAATCATATAGAATCTATTACTTTTGTTTCATATTAATGGAATAATGAATTCAATATCTACAGATAAAGAATGCATCTACTTTGAGACATGTAACACTTAAAAAATCATGCAAGTACTTCAAAACATGTAAACTAGAATAACACTCACCCTTCCTTCATGAAATTGAAAGGAAGCCAGCACAGTATATAACTCCACAAAATTAACAAGATAGGTTGGATCACATGTCATTTCAATCCGCTCAAGCAAAACCTAAAAACAAAGTTAAGGGTCATTGTCATTATCAGAAGTTTATAGCACAAGATATTTATAAAAAAAATGCAAGTTGGGTACCTCCCAAATCATGCACTACATTGTGTCTTCAAGGCAGCATCTTCATACGCTGAGGTAAAAATTATAAAACTTATTTTTTTTTACCCTTTTCACATAAATAAATTTGTGCGAGGAGAGTAGCATAAAAACTACTTACTCTTTAAATACTTATCATGCGCATCAGCTTCAAATTGCTCATTTTTGAAATACTTCACAGTCTAGAGGAGAAACAATAAGTTGTAAGATAAAGAAAAAATAACAAAAGGTAAATTGTGATCTTACATATTATATTTGCACAAGAGAATCGATTGCCCTTGTGATTGCATCATTATCAGCTTTGTTCATTGTCTTCCTAAATTTAGTCCTCCACTAGAAAATTGAAATATAGAAAAGCGCACATAAGTAAACATATTCCTCTATCAGCTTTCATCAAAAGTCAATTTCATATTTAAAATAAAAAAAGGCATACTTGTGTTATAGTCAAAGTGAAGGGAACGTATGCAGCTAGTTACAATGAAATGAATGACTCATTTCCTTTGACTGTGAAAGAGAAGCCCCAGCCCAACAAACATCTCTCTCAGAACAAATGCTCAGCTACCTTTAAGTCCACCAACTAATTAACAAAATTTAAACAAAAAAGAAGAAAGCTAAACAAAATACCCACAACCAAACCCTTCTTATCTCATCTCACATTGTCCAACACCTGTAAGTCCACCATAATGGAACTGCTAGTTGCTAATTTTCAACTAAGTTATTTTCCAATAATAGTATTGTCAATATACAACTATATAGATCTAAAATCAAACAGAACATAGTGTTAAATATGCAGTAAGCAGCTAAGATACGAGAATCTGTATTGTAATCACAGAAAAGCATAATGAAGTGCACGGCTTCATATAAATTTACCTTAGATTCAAGATGAATGTTTTGATCAGGTTTCTTATTGCAAGCATTGACAACAAAACATCTACTGTTGGATGTATCAGTTCGTGTGTGGCAACTTCCATGGTTGAAAATGCTTTCTCGTGAAGAAATTTGCAGAGCTTTGTGAGCAGCATCCACAAAAACGTTAACATCTTCTTCTGTAGCAGCTGGAATATCCCCTGAACACAATATTTCGAACATAACCAAGTTAACATACAAAAACCCTAACAACTTACACAACCATGAAATCAATAACAGATGTGCAAATCGGTCTGATGTAGAGGGCTAGGTTTCCTTTACGATTCTAGGGTTTGATGAATTGTGTTAATCGAACGATACAACCCAGGAGACAACTGCTTGCTCTTTCATGGGACCTTCTTTGAGAATTTTAACAAACAACGAGCATACACCGGTGTTCAACGCTCTCAGGATTACGACCAACCAATCCGATTGCAGACACAGTGTTCTCCTGACCTTCTGGGGATCGAGAAATGAAGGAGAAGAAAATGTAGAGAGAGAAAAAAAAATTCTGAGAACCATTTGAAGAAGTTAACAAATTCAGATGAGAAATTAGGGCTTGTATGAAACTGTATCTCTTCCGTCGAGAACCCCTATGGGTTTGATCTGTTCAAAAGACGGGAATATATTGCGATTTTGTTGTGGGAAAAAAGAGGATTGGTGATGTTATTAGGGTTTTTTTGGGTATTAGAGTGAGAGAGATAGAGAGAGAAAGAGAGAGAAGAACGATGGAAATAAGGCAGAGGGTAACAATGGCGACCTTTCAAACTTTTGGGATTTTTGTTTTCCCCCAGCTGCAAAAGAAAAGAACACGCCTTTCATTAAAAAAAATATAAAGCGATATTTCTAGAAGACACCCATTTTTAAATAAGTGCCCTCCGTGTTTTTTTTGTTCGCCATTAATTTTAGGGCACGCATAAAAGCGTGTCCACTATCCTTCAAATTTTAGAAGAGATAACATTATTTTTAGGGCACACGCTTTTGCGTATCGTAAATCACCGCATGTCATTGTTTGCGCGTCATTAAAGGGTTGTTTTCTAGTAGTGATTAGTGTTAGAGTCTCAAACGCCAAACAATCAACCATTACTAAAAGGTATGTAATTCTACTAGTATTTTATGATTCAAGTACCCCATAACATGCTAGTTAGGATGTAAACCTTGGAAAATTATTATTTGCATGTATCTTAGAGAAAACATAGATCCAAGGTTTCTAGGGTTGCATGTACACCATAAGAGTGTTAGAATGCTTAAAATCCTTTAATCTCTTCTACAGACCGAGTGACAATATTGTCTCCGTGGCGAGGAAATGAGTCTTTCGTGAGAGAGAGTTCATAAGCGAAGGAAACAGTGGGAGCAAAATTGACCTTGTTAGATTCTCATCACCTTTTTAAGATAGATAAATTTTCTAGGGGTCTAGAGTAGATAGCTATACAGGTTTTGTTCATCACGTTACATTGATGAACTTTAAAACGGGTCCCCTAATTCACAGTTTTTGGACCAAAAGTTTTCGGTAATACTAATTTTTTGAGTCACATACCACCCTTTTTAGTAGATCTTGGCACATTGTCAATGATCATTAGTTGTTTATGTTAGCCTCTATCTATGGTAAAATGCCTTAGACCTTCCAAGAAGAAAGACAATAAGAAAACATACAAAAAAAATGAAGAAAATTGGAAAAGTGAAGATAGAAAGAAACAATAAAGGAAGATTCAAGATATACAACAAAGAAAAAGTCAATGAAAAAAAGCAATACAAAAAGAAGAATCCAAGTTCAAGCATTTTGTCCTAAAAAAGAGAGAGAGAGAGAGAGAGAGAGAGAGAGAGAGAGAGAGAGAGAAAGAGAGAGAGAGAGAAAAGAAAAGAGGAAAGAAATAAGAAGACAAAACATCAAGCAACAAAGAAATTGAAGACCAAATAACAAAAACTCAAAGATGAAGATTTAGGATGTCTTGTATCTATTTATTAGATTGATTTGTTTTTTTATTTTATTTTGGTGAGAATAGGAAATTAAGGTGAGATGGTAGAGTGTAAAGAATAGTAAAAAAGAGAAACCCCTGAAACCAGATGTTTTCCGGAGGCTGTAATGCAAATCCTATTTCATTATGATACACTTAGCCTAACCAATGTAGGAAACATCATGTATGAAGATGAGCCTTTCCTTCATGCATTACAGTCTGCATTGTTATAAAGTGCCCCTACTAGGCGCATCCCCTTGTTTCCTTTGTCTTGTACACTCTATTGGCTGCCACTTTCAGATAGGGTCTATTCACCCATCAAGTGGTTCGAGAATGTGGTTTTTGGCTCTAAAGTAAGGAACATTTGAAATATGCATTGGGGCGTAAGGCTGACTTTGACCATGTTGACTAAATTTGACTAAATTCTATGGTATCTTTATTTTTCCTTTGTAAATTAACTCATCCCGAGTTCATTTTAGTCTTGTTCTTACTTGAGGACAAGTAAGTTTTAAGCTTGGGTGATTTTATAGTTTATTTTATTTCCTTCTTTTTTATAGTTTATTTTATAAATTTTAGTCCTTTTTATTAGTATTGCATTATATGTTTTTTTTAATCATGGATCATATCGGGGACTATCTATTTTGCATGAGGTATTTTGCAGGGTTTTGGAGTCTCGATGCGGTTATGTTTAGCTTGGAGATGGGCTTGGTGGGCTTTCGAGGCATTATTGGGCTTTTCGGATCCATCAAAGAAGAATTGGGCTTAAAATGTTGAAGTCATGGATGAAGTGGGCTTATGAAGATGGATCATGAATTCTTGTTATTGGGCATGGACTATCTATTTGAAGCATGAAGATGATTGACCAAATTTAAATCATGTAAGGTGTGGAGGAGAACAAAGGAATCTTGAGTAGTGGAGAAAAAGAGCCAATCAACTTTCAACACCATTTACAAAAGTGAAGGTTTCAGTTACACAAACTTGTGAGGGTACCCATGCAATTGCACACTTTGGTGTCTTTTGGTCATTTTGCTCACCATTTTACCTTGCAGGTTAGGTTTGGCAGCCACACTTCGATTTTCCAGCATTGGAGCACCTTGTAGTTGAGAGTTTGATCTACATTCTTCTCATCCTTCTAGTATTTATTAGTTTATTGATGTAAAAATACTTTTATGATTGTTACCTTGTTGCCATGAGTGGCTAATTTCATTATTTTGGTTTACTTGGGCTAAAACCCTTAGATATTTGTGGGTTTTTGAAGGGTTCATGCTTGATTGTCATTTATCTCATGTTTATGATTCTAGTTCATAATTCTTATGCTTCTTTAATACTTTGATCGTGGGCTTGGTATTTGAATGGGCAATTGTTGGTTTATTTCTTTCATTTAGCATTGAATCATTGAGTTTGCTTAGAATAAGGGCTCTATGATGGTAGAAATCATCTCTATCTTATGGATCATGACTCCTTTATGGATATGTAAGCATTAACATCCTCCAGGAATTAGGGATTCCTTCATTCTTAAGGCTAATCAGCTTTCTTGGATTCAATTGCTTCAATTGAATCCTTGATTTTGATTAAGAAGGTGTGTTGTGGGCTTTCCCAACCTCCATACTACCTTTGAGAAATCTTGGCATATCATGCTTCATGATTGCTATAACCAATTTGAGATGAATGATAAGCTTCATATTGAATCCTAATATTAAACACACAAATATTCATTATGTTGAATTGCTTTGGTTGACCAATTCTCTCTGATATTTGAAGATCTCACCATCTTGCTTAATTGCAACTATTTTAGTTGAAGTCTTTAATCACAAACTCCCCCCCCCCCCCTTTAGTTTCATTGTAATTAATTAGTTTTATTACACTAGTTCTATTGAATTGCATTGGTGATTAAATACAACCATTTCCCCGAGGATCGATACCCATTTTTACAATATTACATTTTATTTGCAAGCAAACGGTGTAATTTGTTTGGCAGACTTGACATGCCACCAAAAAAATTACCGCAATTAAACTAACCTAACCTAGTTCTTATCATGTGGTATTAAACACGTAAAAAATGCATATATTATGAATACCAACTAATCAAATTCTATTCCTTGTTATTTTTATATCTATTTTTGAGATTCAGAAATAGTATCCGATTCGATAAATCTATGAAGGTTCCCAAATTAAATAAGTTTTTATCTTATTATTAATCACGAATTTCTTATATTGTCAGAACGACCTTCACAAATTGCAAATACTAATTTGTTAAGAATTAATTTGATTGAAGTTATAGCATCATCATTGGTTGAAATTGAATTATCTGCGAGATCTGGATCACAATTTGTATCGATTAAACAAATTGTTGGAATTTCCAATACATTCTTGAAGGGTTGTATATTATTCGTGCTGATCAAAATATTTGACTTTTTTATTCAAAAACATAATATAAAATAATCATTTGGACCCATGATGGATTATTTGCAATTATATTTTTGTCATCAAACTATAGTCGTTTAACTCTACTAGTCATATATATATATATATATATATATATATATATATATATATATATATATATATATATATATATATATATATATATATATATATATATATATATATATATATATATATAAAATGAATACATTTCTTAAAGTCATAGTTCTACTAGTCATATGACTCTAGTCGATATCCTTCAAGTCATAGAAAGACATGATCTTTTTGTTTGTCCCCAATCTCATATGTTCATTTAAGCTCAGCGTAATTATTATACTATCAGTCAACAACTCTTGTTAAATAAATCAATAATCTGTATTGGACCAATGCTACAAAATTGATAAGTCTTAAGATAATGTAAACATGTTATGACTACATGTACGTTAAAAAAATGCGGTATCTGAAAATCAGGCCCGGCCCAAAGATAAGCTGAATTGGACCTTATGTCGGCTTGGGGCCCATTTGAGATTTAATTTTAATATAATTATGTACATATCATATGTTAACATATATAAAATGTGATCTACTGGTATATTAAAGCCCAAACTTTCTCAAATGCTAACATAATATGGGTAATGACTATATATAGTGGTATATTAAAAAGAGCTCATTTTTCCAAGGAGACTTTTGATACTTCCACTTAATATTTTATGCTAGACTATTATACCTTTTAATTTAATTTATTTTTAATTTAAGATAATGAAGAAAGAAAAAAATCTTTCCAAACTATGTATCCTTTCTACATGCAAAAAAATTTAGCTTCCTATTAATATGGTAGTTTCTAAATTCAAAAGCTTCGATTTTCTTTTAAACTACTCTTGGAATAATTTCTTTTATATATTTGTACTTATAAATTAAAAAATCAGCATGCTACCAATATTACGTAGACTAGTTATGTAACCATTATTATGCATTTGTTTATTGTAAAATAAAGTAATTATGATGCAATGGTCACTTGTAAAACATTTGTGTATAATAATAACATTACTAAATTGTAAAGAGTACTCTATTGCCAACATGTATATTTTTATTTAATATCAAAACCTACAGAAATCCACAACCAACTTTTTCATTGTAAAATAACAATGTAAAATAAAAAATATATATAAATATCTTGGAATGAACTAATCAAATATGTCATCTTAATTGGAATCTACAAGTCATTGCAAACAATATACATGTAACAAAACATAGGAATATTTCTAACTTTTAACGAATGAATTAATAAATTAAAGTGATATATTGGTATGAATTAACTAAATACTACATAGTCTTTGGCAATCTATTTCAATTGACAGAAAAATACAAATTCAAACTAATAAATAGTAAATCATAAGAAAATTAGTCCAATAAAAATATTTAAACTAATGCATATCCAACATTAAAACTACTATAATGGTATATCATCACTTGAAAATAAGACAGGCATTTAAATCAAGTAAGTTGTTTTCACGACTTATATCATCATTTTTATCTGACACTTCATTGATCATTTGAAAGACACGGGTAGAACTCGAAGCTTTTTGTATATGTGATGATTCCACAAACTAAAATCTTGAAGGGTTTCGTGCAATAGAATTTATTCATCTTTTCTTTCTTGATTTTGGAGATCTACCCTTTGGTTGACGAATCATAGGCTCAAATAACGTATCAGATTCAACCAAAACTTTAGTAATTATAGAATTAGCAAATTCTTTATTACTTTGAGGCCACATTTGGTATATTTAAGACAATTCACTAAGCAACTCATCAAATTCCTTGGCTCCATCATTATGTAAACCATCTTATGAATTCAAAGGCAACATATCAATCCTCCACTATGGATGAATAAGATCCAATTGAAGTATCATTCCTTCTAAATATTTTATCTTGTGAGCACAAGGAAAAACCATGTTTGCCACAGTACTGTAACAGCCCGGAATTTTCAGGTATTTATTTTGGACTTAATTATGGAAATTGTGAGTGGACTCGGTGAGTTGGAGCCCAGACTCGCCGAGTAGGATCACGGATTTGGGCACGGGTTCGCGTCCGGACTCGACGAGTCAAAGAGTGGACTCGGCGAGTCCACGCTGTGTGGTGAAACCCTAATTTCCGGGGTTTGCGGCCTCTTTAAAGGGCCTTATGGCCGTCATTTTTGC